TGACTTGGAAACTATTTTCTTTTTTAATGCATTTTTGCCAAACCGCTTTCCAAAAAAAAAAAAAAAAGGACAAACCTTGCAAACACAGCAATTTACAGTTTGGAAGATGGAGAGACATTTTGGGGTGCTGTTTCATCTGTTCCCCAGGCTCTAACGAAGTTCCTCAAACAGGTTTTGCTCTGTTTTCCTCCAATTTCTTTTTCATTGGCGTAGATGGGAAGTTGGTGGGGGGAGGGTAGCATGTTCACTGTTTTCTGGGTGCCTGGGCCGCTGATTTCAATGATTAATCTATGTGACCCCGTCTATGTCAGGGTGGATTTCTCCATCTGTCATTTGCCTTTCAACTCTTGTGGGTGCTGGCTGGTTCTGGGGGCCTGGGCGCCGTCCCTGAGCTCTTTTTCACTCAAGGCTGGCGCTCTACCCCTGGTTCATTGGAGATCAGAGTCTCACGGGTTTTCCTGCCCCGGCTGGCTTCGAACCGCCATCCCGCAGATCTCAGCCTCCGGAGTGGCTGGGATGACGGGCGTGCACCGCTAGGCCGCCTTTTGATTCTGCCTGAGCTGTGTGTGGGCTGCAGCTGTCCCCCTTACTGCTTGCTGGACGCGTTTTCTTCCGGGGTCTGGGTGACATTTCTAGCCGTCCATGTGGAATCTCACGCTTTCCCCTCACCCCGACCTGATTTCGCTTGACATCGCCATTAGTTTCCTGCCGGGCCGAGCTAACTTGCAAACCTGGAAGTTCACCTCCCTTCCCCGCGCTGGTAGATTCTATTTTCTGCTAGCGGTCCTTTGCCCGAGTTCAGATGCTTCTATTTCCTGACTGGTCTTTGAAAATAGCTTCCCCAGTACAGCCCTTCCCCCGCCCGCCCTTCCTTGCTCCTTCCCACATTCCTCTCCTAAAAGCAGGGGTTTGGCCAGCAAAGAGCCTTCCGTTTGCAAATGACCCCCCCCCCCATACGCACGATTAATTGAACTACCCCCTCCCCCAGCCTGGCCCTCTGCCCTTTCCACAGTCTCTACTGGCCCAGCCAACACTCACTGCCTCCCCCCACTTTTTTGGGGGGCTCCAGCCAGTCTTTCATTTCCCTTCCATCAGAACCCCCCACTTGTACCTGCTCTGCCGGCCGCCAGCTACTACCCACCCTCCCCCCAGCCCCCCCCAGTCTTCACGTTGAACCGAATCCTCCCTCTCTTTTGTGTCCCCCCTCCAAAACAATGCGGCTCGAAGTTATGGGGGGCAGGGGGAGCCTGTTTGAGCTTCGAGCGTGGGGGGCTGGGGGGCTTTTCCCAGTCGAGAAGGCAAATCTCCAGCCGGGCGCCGGTGGCTCCCGCCTGACACCCGAGCGACTCAGGAGGCCGGGATCTGAGGATCGCGGTTCGAAGCCAGCCCGGGCAGGAAAAGCCCGTGAGACTCTGATCTCCAATGGACCCCCAGAAAACCAGAAGTGGCGCTGTGGCTCAAGCGGTAGAGCGCCCGCCTTGAGTGCAAAAGTTCAGGAACTCAGTGTCCCTGAGTTCAAGCCCCAGGACCAGCGTGCACACGTATGCGCGTGCATGCACACTCACACACACACACACACCCCGCCTGGCACCCCGTCACCCCTCTGTGACTCCCCGTACCCCAGGCCCTCCTGACCCCCAGGAGTCACCTCCAAAACCAGCCAACGGGGAGCCAAAGCCTGGGGGCCTTGGGTGGCAAAGGAGAGCCCTTGGATTGACAGCTGGGAGCTGCTGGAGGCCCACGCCCCCTTGACCTTGAGCGTGACCCCATCCGCACCAGCTGGGTGTCTTTTCCCCTCCTCTCCTTGATCTATTTAAACGGTGTCAGTGCTGGGATCAGCTGCGTGTGTGTGTGTGTGTGTGTGTGTGTGTGTGTGCTCCTTCCCCCGTGTTTAGAGGTGACACTGCAGCCGGTTCGGGGCGCGTGCACGCTGCCTTGGTCTATTTTTAGTCTCGCCGAGCCCTGGAGCGCCACGCCAAGCCGAAGGCGGCTCACCTCCTGCATGCCAATGAGGCGGCCGGGTGCCAAGATGCCCGGCCGCCCCAGGGCCGGGCTGTGGGCCAGGAAGCGGCCACGGCCCAGAGGAGAGGCCGAGGCCAAGGCCGCTACCACCAAGACACCCGCCGGGAAAAATGGGACCCCCCCCCACACATACCCCTTCCTCTACTCGTCCCTCTCCAGCCCTGGGCCCCGGGAAGGGAGGAGGAGGAGGAGGGGAGAGAAGGAGATGGGGTCGATCTCTTGAGCTGCTTTGTCTTAGAGCTGCCTGTCCCCGCCTTGAGCCTTGACTCCTGAGTAGACCCAGCTCAGGGGATGGGAAAATAGAGAAGGAAGGAAGGGAGGGAGGGAGGGAGGGAGGGAGGAAGGAGGGGAAGGAGGGGAAGGAAAGAGGGAAGAAGGGAAGGAAGGAAGGAAGGAAGGAAATCCACGGCTAAGCCATGGGGGCTCCCGCCTGTCATCCCAGCTCCTCAGGAGGCTGAGATCTGAGGATCGCAGTTCAAAGCCAGCCCAGGCAGGAAAGTCTGTGCGACTCTGATCTCCAGTGAACCCCTCAAAACATTAAGGAAAAAAAAAAGATGCCAGAAGTGGAGCTGTGGCTCCCGTGGTAGGACACTTGCTTTGAACAACAGAGAAACGCTCGGGGACCGTGCTCAAAGCCCTGAGTTCAAGCTCCAGGACTGGCACATGCGCACGCACACACACACACACACACACACACACACACACACACACCACCCCCAAACCACCTCAAGCCGGGTATCTGTGGCTCCTGCTTGTTACCCAAGCTACTCAGGAGGCCAAGATCGGACAATCCCGGTTCAAAGCCAGCCCGGGCAGGAAAGTCTGTGAGACTCTGATCTCCAATGAACCACCAGAAAACCGGAAGTGGTGCTGTGGCTCAAGGGGTAGAGCGTCAGCCTTGAACTGAAGAGCTGAGGGACAGCGCCCAGGCCCAGAGTTCAAGCCCCACGACTGACAAAACAAAAAACAAAACAAAAATCAACTCAACACTAAGTACAGGCCAAAGCAGGTAGCACCGTGAAGTCTTCCACAGCTTGCTTGCTTTATTTGTTTGTTTATTTGTCAGTCGTGGGCCTTGAACTCTGGGCCTGGGTGCTGTCCCTCAGCTCTTCAGCTCAAGGCGGGCGCTCTACCCCTTGAGCCACAGCGCCACTTCTGGTTTTCTGGTGGTTCATTGGAGATCAGAGTCTCACAGACTTTCCTGTCCAAGCTGGCTTTGAACCGCGATCCTCAGATCTCAGCCTCCTGAGTAGCTGGGATGGCAGGCATGAGCACCGGCGCCCGGCTCACACAGCTTTAGACACCCTGGAACAAGGCTTTCCTGCAGGCGGGTTTCACGGTGGCCCGCGGTTCAGAGCGGAGGACGCGGTGACAGAAGGCTTTCCAAGGTCACACGGGCCCCGATGAACAGGGCAGAGCCTCAGGTTGGGACCTTCCTGTTCCTTGGGGTGTCTGCCCTCAGCATCTGCTTTCCGCCTCACAGGGAGAGGATCGGGGAGCGGAGGCCCAGCCCCCCCCCCAAGATCAGCCTGTCCTAGAATCCTGCTTTTCTATTTCTGTGTTTGCACCCAGCTCCCAGGCTCTTTCCTGGCCTCTGTTTCTGGGCCAGGCCGCCCTCTCTGGCTCAGCTGTGTGTCCATCCAGATGTTGGGGGTGGTCTCTGGGCTGTTTCTCCTTCCCGTTAGCCTGTGGGGAGGAGGGACGGGATGGCTGTGAGGAGCCCAGCTGGCAGGGGTCAGGATTGGGGGGGGTGTCACTAAACACAGGAGGAACAAGG